AAACATCATAACTGTATGGAGTTTAACTCGCGCGTGTTACTCCACTGACCGCTTGCATGTAACTGTATAGAGATTATGCATGGTAAAATCGCTCATAGTCGGTTGCTTGGATATAACTCTATCATATCATGCAGTCTTGATATAATACTAATAGATCACAGTCAGACTCGCTGTCGTTTAATCAATCTTGTTACGTTTATTATTATACATCTATGACTTGCCACATTGGTATTTTAAGTAATGCTGCTGAATAACTGATTGTGAAATAAAAATTTCTTGAAACAAAGAAATTCCTTAACACTAGATCAAAGAACCAATTCAAATCTACCATGACTAGACATCATGTCGATTTATTTGTTCAAAAAATGCAGATACGTTTCGTTTGTTGCAAAACAAGTTGTTATTGTCGACGCTTTGAATACGTGGCGGAATTTCAATCATACATACGCTTGAATCTATGCCTGGCTGTCGTTTAATACTGCTCATTTACTTCAACGTTTAAAGAGAATGTTCACTAAATATTTTCCAGGAGTAAAATAAAGGTACAAAACTGTCTATTTGGACGAGTTTTATGCAGCAAAGTATCGGTAGTAGTACGTAGAATTTGCTTTATGTTCAATTTAGGAGAACAGCGAATAAATATGGCATCAAATTATCCACTTGGATATGATGACGAAAGATTCGAGTCGATAGTGGACCAAAATTTCCACTGTTTGATTTGCTATAACGTATTGAAAGATCCCGTGATGTGCCGCAGAAACCAGCACTATTTCTGCAACGGCTGCATCACGGAACATCTTCGTACGAATTTCCATACATGCCCAACATGCGCTGACGAGCTGAGTGTCGAAACGTTGGCTGAAGTTCCAAGAATTGTGAAGAATTACCTGGATGAACGAAAGATTCGTTGCGATCATTACGACAGAGGATGTCGAGAACTCGTACAGCTGCAGAATTTAAAGCGACATGTCGCCGAATGCGGGTTTACTCCAGTCGTTTGTGGAAATCAAGGTTGTGGTGAGACAATCAGTAAAAGAGATCGTACATATCACGAGAGTGAACTGTGTCAATTTAGAAAGTTGAAGTGTCACAACTGTGGAGAAATCAGTACGATAATAGCGGGAATAAAAACGGAAATCGCAAACCAGAACACTAAAATCAACACGGAAATGGCACACTCGAACACGAAACTGAAAAACACGGACACGAAAATAGCAAACGTCGACACGAAACTGGAAAACATGAACACGAAACAGGAAAATATGAACACGAAACTGGAAAACATGAACACGAAACAGGAAACCATGAACACGAAAATAGAGAACTTGCAAGCGAACGTGGAAGCGAAGTTCGAAGCGGTGAATAATGAAGTGAGAGGAATGAAAATGAGTTTAAATGAAGTAAAAGATGGTTTTGATCACTTGAAAGAAGTAGTACTTGAGAAGATAGAGAGCAAAGAAAGAAAGCAGGAGGAAATCACAAGAGATGTAAGTGGCACAGCGAGTGGCGGGAGAGAAAATCAACATATATTTGTTGCTGGTGGTTACTGGAAAATCACTGTAGAAATATTTAATTACCGTCAGAGATTGTGGTCTTTATTAGAGCCCATGCCAGAGAATCGTAGCAATGCATCTTCATTTGTTTATAATAATCATGTGACTGTAGTGGGAGGTATGTGTGCTGGTGCTGCTGTAGATAACATGATCCGAAAGAAGATTCACCCAGTCCCTGATCTCTTAATTAACTGGAGCGACTTTGCTGCCAAACTCCCAGCCAAGATGTTTGGACACAGCAGTGTGGTGTGCAAGGATATGTTGTTGGTTACTGGAGGTTATAATACAGATCAACATGTCTTCTCTGATTGTATTCACGAAATTCAACTTAAACCACCTCACACTGTTAAACTGGTATCCACGATGCCTGAACCAAGAATTCGTCACAGCGCAGTACTGTGTGATGATAGTATTTTGATCGTTGGGGGAAGGAAATCATGGTACTTCAAAGACAACCTCAGCAGTGTGTTAAGCTATGACATCAAGAAGAATGAATGTCAACAGTTACCTGCGCTTCCCTATCCAGTGAGTGAAATGGCGACAGTCAAGTGGGCTGAGAATGTCGTGATCATTGGTGGGGCTGACAAGGATGACAGAGCATTAAACAATGTTATAATTTATAACATCAAGACTGGAAACAGTCATATGTTGCCTCCCATGTTACACAAGAGGAAAGGATGTATGGCAGTTGTTATTGAGAATACAATTGTAGTACTAGGAGGAAGGGATGAGAGAGGGAATGATTTGAAATCAGTTGAAGGTTTCAATTTTGAGCGATTTTCATGGCAGGAACTTCCTGACATGAAGCAAGAAAGATACCAGGCCACAGCTGTTGTGATTTAGACTTTCTTGTGTGTATTATGTAGAATATTTGACATATATCACAAAACTTTATTCAGATTTTATAACATATCGATTAAAGAACTACCTTACTTGTAATATAGACACCATTGAATAAAATTTCATGTCTATATATTGTTTAAGATTGTGTTTATCTGAGTAAGCAATCTCTGATGATTTCAGTAAAGAAACTTCATCTTGCTAGTAGAGACTTCTCTACTAACTTTCTGACAAAAAGTCTTCGCTCGAAATGTCGAAGTTTGCAATGTGTAACTAGACTTAGATTTATTCAATTGATTGCCTTGCACATCAAGAAAATCAAAATAAGACCTCCACAAGAGGGAAGAGCCTGGGAATGAGTTTGACATCAAGCTATTGAGCATACGCGGTGTTTTAGTTTAGAAATCCTTTTCGAAAACTCGCAAAGTAATTCTTTTTCTGCCACTATATGTAAGTATAGTTTTTCTAATAAATATTTTTTAGGATGTCAAACACTTTCATCGGACGTTGAAAGAGGCTTGTGACAAACACGATAAAACCTATTATCAGAAATTCAAAAAGTGGTGCGATGATTATTTTTTTGTAAAATTTCGAGGTACGTGGTGTTTTGTTACTTGTATAAATAATGACTCGTTTTATTATTTGAAGGAAATGGCCCAATTTTTACCACCGATTTTTACCACCCTTCCACCTTAAGACAAACTAACTAGAACAGTGTGAGTCTGGCATTAGTTCTGAGAATAAATCGTGCCTGATACTTTCCGTGAAACACGGCAATTTGATTGGTCAATACAATCCCACACGGTAATTAGAAAATTTAAATGCCTTCGCGCGAGTGCGCAGCACGAGTGTTTTATATCTGATAAAGAACGACTACCGAAAAAGTACCCATCTTATGAGTTCATTGGCGAAGTAATTTTAAAATTAAACGTTGTCGGAGCTGAGAAAATCAAAGCTAAGTCTATGCAAATTTACATTATTTTTTATCACATATACAGGGTGTATCAGAAAACCTGCAAAACTATAATTTGTATAATTCTGCTGCTTACTAGCATTTCAATGTCTGTGCTACTTATTTTGCTCCTGGGATTTGAAAATACATTCTAATTAACCGCGTTGATAGAAATTAGAATAACATAAAGTTATTTGTAATGCAGAAAACTAATTATCAGTTCGACTGTGAATGGGTCAACTATTGTGTTCACGCATGCTTGGGATCAATTAGCTCTGAATCATGCAAATTCTAAAAACATTGGACAGGGTGATTAAAAAAAAAACTGACACCTTTGTTATTCAAATTAGCCGCGAAGGAATCAGTTTTGTTTTACTCATGCCCTGTATTTCAAACGTTTGCAGGTTTTTTGATACACCCTTTGATACACTCGACTTTCGCACAACCTCGAAACATCTTGTGTGAGTGGATGACGCTATATTCTGCACGGAAAACCATTTGGTATTCATTTAATATCCAGTCAACTCTCATGCAACTCTTGTTCTCGTTTGACCGGGATATGAGCGTTGAGAAAACTTTCATGCAAACTCTCGCTTGCCAACTCTAATCCTTGTTTGACCAGGGCAGAATATTAACGTCATATCTGGGGCCCATTGTATAGTTACTGTAAAAATTAATTAATCATTACAATTAGAATCGTGCATTTTGGCAGGGCCTTTTTTATCTATATAATTCCCCCCCCCAGCCCTGATGGTGCCCAAAGGTTTGATATTCTAGTAAGTGAACCTTGCTTTGTGTCGTTTGTGAATTTTATGTCATGTCTTTTATCTTCAAATGATTCAATGTCTTTTTAAAATTGTTAAACACTATGTATTAGTTGTAAATACCTTAGATTTTAAAATGTTCCCAAACCTTATAGATTTGAGTTGTTGGAAGCCTAGGCTAAACAAGTTAGTGACCGAGTTGTGGTATTTAACTGAAGATATAGTTAATTTGCAGTATAATGTAAATGCCTAATTCCACGACGTGCGAAATGCGAAAAAGTTCGCGCGAAAAGGTTGAATGCATGCGCAACATGATTTTGGAATGTTTCTCTGCGAAATATTTCTCTTTGCTGGGTAGTTGAATTCGTTTCTACTCCGTTACGAAATGGAAATAGCGAAGCCAATCGCTTCACAAATGCTTGTGTCTTGGCGAATTTTTTTATTTTTTTCTCTACTTAAATCACTACGAGAGAAAATTTTCGCACAAGTGTGTTTTCGCGCGTAATTTTTTGCATTTCGCTCGTCGTGGAATTAGGCCTTAACGGTCTTAACGCTGTTTAGTATAATTACGTAGGTGATTATTGAAAATTCTCCACGCTGATTGGTTGCCGTTGAGGTGATTATTACGCGATAATCACCTAAGCGATTTTCAAAATGGCGGTCGAAGCCGTTTTGTCAATTAAATGACGAAGAAATGTGCATTTTAAAATTTGTTTCCAAATAATCACCTATGAAATTATACTAAAACAATTATTCACCTCAGGCTCGGTGATTATCGTGAATAAAAACCTCGACTTCGTCTCGGTTTTTATTCACCGATAATCACCTTGCCTTCGGCGAATAATTGTTAAATATCCAAAAATCTGTTTCAGAAAACGCACGAAATGCAGTCCTAGGGATGGAAAATTACGAAAATGTTCTGGGGGAGATCCAGACCTCATACTATTACATGCGGCACCACATCAGACCTTTTGTCACCAGAATCCATCTGTCATCTCTCCATATACTGAGTATAGTGGAAAATACTATTTCGTTGACCTCAGAATGACATTTCGTCAAAACTTTTTTCTTCAAGATTGGTTTAGAAACAAACTTGGAGTAGGGATAGGGTTAGGATAAGGATTTGGGTTAGAGTTGGTGTTTGGAATAGGGTTAGTGTTTGTAAAACCGTTGCATTGTTACGTTCTGTCACTTTGAGGCCAGCGAAATAACCTCTTCCGAGTATAGTATGGTCCCTTTTTGTAGACGCCCCCTCCCCCCAGTGACGAATTCTTAAATAGGGCCCTGCATTTTGGATTTAACTACGAAATCAGTAGTTAAAAAGTAGTTAAGAGTTTAATACAACCGGTTCCAGATGGTTTACATAGGTTTAATTTATCATTAAAGGTGAACGACGCGGTGTTGGTGGTATATTTTTTGATGACGTCGACCAACCAAATCAAGAAGAAGCATTTCAATTTGTGAAAAGTTGCGCTCAGGCGGTCATTCCATCCTACATTCCTATCGTTGAAAAACATATGAAAGATAGCTACACAGCTGAACAAAGACGTTGGCAACAGCTCAGGAGAGGACGGTGAGTTCAAGCATGATAAAAATAATAAATTTATCTATTGTTGATACATTAGGGGCGCACCCCCTCCCCCATAGATAATGTTCAGCACCACCCTAAAAAATGTGTTGACCGTACATTTTCTGCTTTTCGAATAACTAGTAGCGGATCTTCTACTGTTGGTGGCCGGACATTTTGCCGAAAGACACTTTGCCGAAAGACATTTTGCCCAAAGACATTTTGCCGACGGACGTTTTGCCGAACGGACGTTTTGCCGAACGGACATTTTGCCGAATGTACATTTTGCCGAACGGACAGTTTGACGAACGGACATTTTGCCGAAAATAGAGATATCTTCTGAACTTTAAAGGTTCTCTTACACGGTCAAAGTTTCTGTGATTAAAGTCATTAATTGTTGATTTTGATGACAGAAACTTTGATAGTGAAGTATAGTTTCGTTTTATATTCTTTCAAGTCTTTGACAAGTTTACGGAATATTCGCGATATAAAGAATAACATCATTCAACATCATTCATGAATGTGATTTCCCCGAGAACTGTGAATGTATTCCATGATTCTCGAAGTGAAATTCGCTTACGTCGTCTTTATATACGCTTCTTTGTTTATGATCTGACGTCAAAACACGTTCCTAACAAATGAGTCATCCGCTGGACAAACAAGCTACCAATAGTCAATATGGTTATGCATTGCTAACAACCATTATGCACCGCTAATGACCATTACAGTATGCACTGCTAATGACCATATAATGTTTATTTTACACAATGGTTGAGAATTACACAGTTGAGAAATGAGTCACAGTCCCAAACATTTTGATGAAATAACATCTTTATTTTCGGCAAGTTGTCCTTTCGGCAAACTGTCTGTTCGGCAAAGTGTCTTTCGGCAAAATGTGCGGGTACCTCTACTGTTAGCGCGTGTCGATCTCGTGAAACGAGTTAATTGATAATACTCAGAACGCTTTAGCTAAATATCATGTAGGTTAAATATATAAACATGTCGAGGTTGTTAAACAGCTATATTTTCAAGTATACTGTACTTTATCAAGCGAGTTTACTTTACTGTACTGCAGGTTGTAACAAACCTGCAGCAGATTTGTTGCAATGCTGTTCCAACAACTTGTCAACCGGATGTGTTCGCACTGCTTGTTCCCAGCTTGTTGAGAATTGGTCAACGGCTTATTGACAACTTACTACAAGGCTGTTGAGCTCAACAGACTTGTTACAAGTTGTTCCAACGACTTGTTATCATCAAGTTGTGAGTGACAACCTTGTAGCAACTTGATGCAATAACAGCATTGTTAAAACTTGTTGACAGGCGTTCTACAAGCCTGTTGCAAACACATCTTGTTGACAAGTTGCGAGATTTTTACGTGTGTACACACGTAAAAACACACAAGTTGTTACAGGTTTGCAAACAAGTTGTTACAAATCTGTTCACAAGTTTTCGACAAGTTGTGTTCGCACTGCTTGTTCCTAAGTTGTTGTAACAAGTTTGGAACAAGCTGTTAACAGTTTGTAGCAAGCTTCATGACATTATCAGATATGGTACAAGGCTGTTCTAACACGTCTGATACGGTCATGACATACCAAGATTGTTACAATATTGTTATATCCTGACTGTATCAGACTTGTTGGAACAACCTTGCAACAGGTCTGTTAAGCCAGTTTTCCATTTCAACCGTATCGTACCGAAACGTAGCGTATTTCTTTGTTTCCTGAGCACTAGTGTGGAACTAATGACTTCAACACAAAAGAAAATGCTACGATACGTTACGATACGGTTGAAGTGGAAAACTGGCTTTAGTATCAACAAGGTTGTTACACGTCGTTAAAGTGCCTATGACACGAAATTTCACCCCAAAGGTTTATGGTTGCATTGTAAAGATCACTTAAAATGACTTAATAATTTCTTTTATAGAATTTTGGTAACTTGGTCCATTTTCAAGATATTCAACTTTGTTTCATATGCAAATATCACCGGTGTGACATCACATCACATCACATAACGAGTTTTCAGAAAAGTATAGTTTTCGTGACGAATACGTATCTAAAAAACTGCCCTTGTATAAGTATTAATTTCATAACTGATAATTAACCCTCTGTATTTGTTTGTAAAAATATTTTATCAAAGTAAAATATTGCGTTTTCAAAATTTCATTATGCGATGTGATGTCACACCGGTGATATTTGCATATGAAACAAAGTTGAATATCTTGCAAAGGAAGCAAGTTACCAAAATTCTATAAAAGAAATTATTAAGTCATTTTAAGTGATCTTTACAATGCAATCATAAACATTTGGGGTGAAATTTCGTGTCATAGGCACTTTAACAGCTTGCTCCAAACTTTGTTGACAACTTTGGACAAGCAGTGCGAACACAACTTGTTGACGGCTTGTTGGCAGACTTGCTACAAGATGTGAGATTTTTACGAATATAACCCATCTTATTTTCTCTGCTTCTAGGTACGTTGAATTCAATCTCGTCTATGACCGAGGCACAAAGTTCGGTCTATACACCCCTGGCGCAAGAATTGAAAGTATTCTAATGTCACTACCGCTGACAGCACGTTGGGAATACATGCACAACCCGTCACCAGGTAGTCAAGAAGCTAAGCTGATGGATGTCCTTAAGAATCCAAAGGACTGGGTATAGCTGACGAATAATGGAGGAATTATGATGACAATGAGATAAGTTTTGAAATGGATGATTCAGCTATCGACTAATTTTTTATCTAGACAAGAAAGACGAAATATATCATTATAGCTCAAAAGAGCATCCTAAAATTAGTAAAATTGCAAAGTTCGGTTGCGAAATGTTGTAAAATACGAAAAATACAGCCCTGTGAAATTAGCAAATTTTGAGTATTTTAGTGTTACGCGCTGGAAAATGTACCACTTTTGGACCGAAATACTATAATTTCACAGGGCTATATTTTTCGTATTTTACAACATTTCGCAACCAAACTTTGCAATTTTACTAATTTTAGGATGCTCTTTTGAGCTATAATGATAGATTTCGTATTTCTTGTCTAGATAACAAAAAAATAGTCGATAGCTGGAATAATCCACTGAAATTTATAATGTCGATTGTTTTTGGTATTTAATGCCCGTTTTCGACCGGGCGAATTCTGTTTAACTACCTTAAAAATATAAGCACATGCAGCCTAGACCTACGCCATTCTGTTTCTAAGGGAGCGGTCATTATTTATGGCGGGGGGTGGCACCGAAGAGAAAAGGGTTGGGTAAACTAAATTTTGAGTAACTAAAAGGTTGGGTAAATGAAAAACAAAACAACTCAAGGGTTGGGTAATAAAAAGTTATTGCCATTTCCAGAGCATGACTCACTTAAATATTGGAGACTGAAAAGCAATGTCAACAGTCGTATGTCAATACAATATGTGAATCAATCAGAGTCACTATCTTGATCATTTAAAGTTTGTTCGTTCACTGCAACCAGGTATATCAATCATGTTTCGCTCGCTACTCTGGTTTCCGATTTGTTGGGAGACAAACGGTGTCTCCAAAGAAAGTACATCTACATACAATATGAAAGTTTAGTTATCAAACTTGTGTCACAGAAGTGGTAAAGGACATGTGTGGCAACTGAATGTTATTCTTTTGTAAAGGTTTGGGCCAGGGGTGGGTAGTTATTTTTTAATTGATATTTGAGGTTGGGAAATGAAATTTTTTGCTTTTTAATGGTTGGGTCAGCAACATTTTTACCAGAAAAAACATTTCTCTTCGGTGCCACCCCCCACCATAAATAATGACCCGTCCCTAATTGCGACGCTTTTTCACATGAGAAGACTGGAACCCAGTTGCGTCATTTCGCATGTGACGTCATACTTACCAAATGCAACGCCAAAATTGACCAAATCTGCCAAAGACAGTCGAGTAAATTGCCCAGGGCCAGGCTGATGAAGGCAGAACTTCGAAGTCCCTTCGTCAGGAAGTTAGTATATAGTTGTATAGTTAAAATTGAACTTTAGAGATTATTTTAAAAAATATGCAATACTGTACGGAATAGCGATTTAAATGGCAATCATTGTTACATAGTAATGAACATTTAAATTAGAGAAAAATATCGCGAATGAATAAAAAAGGCACTCAAAAACAGAGAGCTTATACGTCATGTCTGTATACATCAGGGTGTCCTGGAAATTCCTCGAATTGGATAAAAAAATCCAGCACTGGAAAGTCCTTGAAAATCAGTAAAAGTCCTTAAAGTCCTGGAATTAATTTCCTTAACCTCCAGCTGTGCCAACATTAGTGATTTTGATTAAAATTACTGATTAAAGTGAATTATTTGCCGCGCAAATCCGTGCCGGCATTTTCAAAGATTTTTCCCAGTTCTAGGTCCTTGAATTTACTGAATAAGGACCTTGAAAGTCTTGGAAAAGTCCTTGAATTTTACCTTCACCAAAGGGTGGACAGCCTGATACATGTTCTTTAGTCAATAAATAATGGCAGGTGAATGCCCTCGCTTGCGCGCGCCTGGGCGCAACACGGAGCCATCGCTTTCTAAAAGAAATGGCAGAACAATAATATTGCGCAATCAGAAAGCGTAGCGCTCCGAAGCAGATTTATATATTTTGCGCTTTGGTTGCCCAGAGTAAAATGTACTTTTCCATTCAATATTGGACGATTCTGCTTGAGACTATTTCCAGTTCAGTGAAAAGTAAAATGTTTCATAATAGACCTTTCCAACCTCGGTCCCAGGGTCTTTCTTAGAACGGAGCGAAGCGAAGGAAAGAATGACCCTGGGAACGAGGTTGAGACCTTTCTTATAATGACATCAAACGCAATCTCGTTTCCCGAGCCTGCGTCGCGATCCTCGGGAAGGAACGTGAGGCTCTGGGATAATTCGTTGCCGGAAGCCAGGAATCCTGGCTAAGATTGAACTGCGCATTCCATTTCAACGACCAATCAGATTCCTCCCTAAAATGGATTATCCCAGTCCCCAGAGCCTCGCGTTCCTTCCCGAGTATCGCAGGCTCGGGGAACGAGATTGCGTCAAACGCGGACAACCAGTTTATGCGATGTTCCACACTCCCACGGGACAATTTTTAGCGACGATTCGCAATCAAGTCGTTGGCGAGCCAATGAATTTCATAATATGTCCCTTGGGACATCGCATTAGTGTTTTTACGCGTTTGACGTTATTGTAAGGAACGTCTACTATGATAGGTATTTTCCTTAATGAAACTCTATTATAAACTTGTACAGTATATAATATTAATAATGATGTTTTGTTTAAATGCAACATAACTTAATAAGCATCCTCAATTTACAATTTACATACACGTACTCAATTGTAAGACTCAATTGTGGTCTTGTAGAATTTCTGTTTACCTTACGTCTGAGTTGCATTTTTGTAGTTTTGTCCGCTGTTAGTATAACTTTACAAAATGCCAACAGACAATATTTCATTGTTGTCAAATAACAGCGTTAACGCCAACGCGCACAGAACATTAATTGCAGTGAATTCATGACTACATTAATCATTATCATACGTGTAGTAATTATCAAGTATATATGTTCATTGGCATTGTCATGAACTATATGTATGAATTTACACCCGAAATTATATATCTAGATTTAAATTATAGGTTTATCTGAAGCTCAATTAAAGCCTATTTGTTTCGTTTCCAAACATTTTCCTTTCAAATACATATTGTTTTTGTAACTGAACATAAAATAAATGAAACATTTCGGCAATATACAACAAGACTGATTTTATAAATTATTTTATGGCACCATATCGCGAGAATGGACAATTTTATGAAAGTCAAATTATCCGTCAACCAAACCGGTGGATTGTATTTCATTAATCTTTAATCATGAAATTCGTATTTTGGCTTGAAGTTGGCCATTAAATATAAACGAATCCTGTCCGTTTTTGTTCACAAACTAAACGCCAAGAACTCAAGTCGACGCTACAGAAAGGTAAGCAATAAAAGCGTTCTACTTTTTTGTGATTTTTATCCTTAATTCCTGTCGTTTTACTTTTAATACTGCCATAGCATATTTCAACTTGTTTAATAATCGGTTAAGCATTGTCTATATGAAGCAATATTTGCTTTTCAAACTTGTATAGCGTCAAATGAGCGCTTTCGCGACGTGCGCCAAATTGCTGCACGATTCAATGATTTTCCGTTTGGATTTTTTTCAGCTGATTCACTTCAAACGCGTACTTAATGGGGATTATACATAATAACTGGGCATTATTATTTTTTAGAAGCTGTTTTGAGCCTAAACGAAATTCGCAGGTGTTTTAATGTATACGTTTTGTCTATCAAGGGCCATATACTTAATCGCTATTATATTATAGGCAAAGCGTCGTAAACTCATCTATACAAATTAAAATACGCCTAACAGCAATAGCGGCTTAAATGCTAAGAAAATCAATCTCGTTTTTGCGCAGTTAAGTGCCCCAAAAACGTTGAAAGACACATTTGGCCTGGCAGTTCATGACTGCAGATTAAAGATAACTGAAATTAATTCTAAATCCAAACGAAGTCTCTTTTATATATGTGCTATAGCCTATATAGCTTATCGTATTTTTCTGAGATAAATAAATAGAATCGACGTCATGAATCGCCCGAAGGCACAAAACTGAATTTGGGATTTTTCGACATTTTAAAGTCGTATAAGTTTTGAAAAATTGTTGTTGAAAAATTGAGGTTTTGGCAAGATAAGCTGTAAATCACGCAATTTAGTGCTCTTATATATGGCATCCGAATTCGATGACAGCGCCATGAGGCACACGCCGAGAAAGCCAATTTTTAGTGAAAACTAGACTTTATATTATCGAAGTTCTGCACAAAATGTGCTAATTTGCTAAAAATATGTGACGGTATATCGACCTTTTTAATACATAGTATAACTTGCGCCCATTGTCATGTGATCGGAGAAGGAAGAAAAATACACACTGGCCTTTTTACTGGCCTCATAGACCATTTTACCATTTCGGAGAGACGTATGGCGGTATGCTGGATTTAATGATGCGTTCTATTTATTTAATATACGTTTTACACTACAAAACAGGTGTTAAAATATGCATATCACACTTATATTATTGTTCAAAATGTACAAGAACAGTACGTTATATGCGCAAAGTTCAAAATATGTACTTTTTTCAAACAAAATTCAGTTTAAATCCGTATGTTGTACATTTTTGGCGGGAAAATGATTATATATTGGCAACACCGCACATTTGTAGTTTGCGATGTATATTTAATTGGCCGCTTATGGTTTCGTATTGCCATAGTTTTCCATTGCTTCAAAACACGCGTAAAACCCATTTTGCATCCAGTTTTTCGGAAAAACAACTTGTAAGCGAATTATTTTTCAATAATATGCTTGTGTAAACTTGTATTTTAGACAACAATTGCTTCAAAAACGACAATGCAAAAGTTTTGTTATGTAAAATTCGACATAAAGGCTAAAGCTTCTAGATTTGAATTCAAATCTACGGTTTAACTTATTAATATTAAAGTTGTTTATATCTACTGTATGTGATTAGTTAAAAGGCAAATTCAGTATTGTCGCGGTGTCTGAGGCAAACCGATCATGTTTTAATGCATAGCCTATAATGTGACTTTCGGTGTGGAAGTTTTTTTAATCACAATTTGAAGTCAAAATTTCTTTTTTTTGTTTGGTAAATGTTTAAAGTGGTCATACGTCATAAAACATTAAAAGTCGAGATAATCACATTTCTGCTTATCCGCAATTCTTATGGCAGTATGCAAGCACTTCGTCTTCGGTTTTCTCTTGATCAATATTCAATAAGTGATTATCCTTACTGGACATCTAGGGAGAACAGTTTATAGTCTGTAGATCTGCGTGATAGAGCTGTTTTGTTTAGGTTTCCTCCAGACTGGACTAATTATAGAGATTACCTTACCGGATCTCTAAGTAGAACAGTTTGGAACTTACAGACAAACCAGTATATAAATGAAGTTAGTTTGTTTAGGTTTCCTCCTGTAGTAACACTGGACTAATTGTAGAGATTACCTTACTGGATCTCTAAGGTAGTAAGGAGAATTGAGCATCCAGTATAAATAAAACTAATAAAGTTAGTCTATAGTATATAGGTTCCCTCCTGTATATAGGTTCCCTCCAATCTTAGGAAGAACAGTTTGGAACTGGTAGAACAGTCCATGCAGTATATAAATAAAGTATACAGCTAAGTTCAGCTTTCCTTCTGTATAGCAATTATACGCTATAGTATAGCCAATAAGAGATGGATATACTAAAGTTCAATTTACTTGGATAGTTTTATACCAAAAAACTCGGCTAAAAACAATATTATCATTATTTATTATATAAAGTATAGTGCTTTATAGAGATTTCGAGCACTGATAAAAGTGATAATCTCACATGTGAGATTATTTATGATAGTCTCACATGTGAAAATTATCGGTTTTCAATTATCGCTTTTCTGTAAAAATTATCGCTTTTCAAAATAAGTTTAAATAGAGAATAATACATGGGTGCGCGGACATACCAGATTTATTTCTCGTGTTGAACATGATATCTCACTCGTTCGCTGCGCTCACTCGTGAGATATCATGTTCAACACGAGAAATAAATCTGGTATTTCCGCGCACTGCATGTATTATTCTCTATTTAAACTTATTTAGACACACAGTGGCCTTTCATGCCTGGTTTTCAAAGGGCGGTGCGGTTACAAAAGTAGAAAAAGAATTGTTTAAAAATATATACCATTACTTTTTTTGCTAACTATAGTGGTAGACTATTCCAGGATAGCGTTTTAAAAAGTTTGTTAGTGGCTTATTTAATTGAAGCCTCCGATTAAAAATAGAACTGGACACTGTTTGATTTCATGTAACATAAAAGCTATAAAAGCTATCGCAATGAAATAAAGATCATTGCATTCAGAAAGGACTAACTTAGATTTTGATATATAACACTTGATTTTACATGCAATATTGACTGCGCTGTTGATATTTGAACTGCTGTTTTTGAAAATGCCAAAAATTAGCATGAAACAACCTTATATAATTACTGATGTAGTTATACTTGTTAAATAATAAATATTTTTATTCAACGTTAAAACATCAGTAGCACAGTCAATATTGCATGTAAATTCAAGTGCTATATATCTAGGTTAGTCCTTTCTGAATGCAATGATCTTTATTTCATTGCGATAGCTTTTATAACCTTTATACGTTACACATGAAATCAAACGGTGTCCAGTTTTTTTTGGGACACCCGGTAGATCCGATAAATAGTTAGGCGTTGTTTTCTTAGATGCTTTATAAATGTCATTATACGTATAGCTGTTCTCGCTTTTTAATATATACGGGAATATCTCTATGTGTTATAGATCTACAAACTCGCAATCCAAAATGGCTGGCGAAGGGGATGGTAGCGTTGCGGAGAAATATGTCTCGTGCCCAACCTCACTTGCCAATTACTCCATGATCAGGATAAATGTCTCGGGCAAGAGCTACCAGACTTACGAATCGACGCTCGAACGATTCCCCGACACGCTGCTCGGCTCGCCCGACTCGCGCGGACGTTTCTACGACGCGTCGAAAGGCGAATATTTCTTCGACCGACATCGGAGTTGCTTCACATCGATCCTCTATTATTATCAATCCGAGGGGACCCTAATTCGGCCGATAAATCTGTCCCCTGATGTTTTTTTACAGGAATGCAGCTTTTTTGGACTCGGAGAGGAAGCTCAGAAGATTCTTGGATTTGGTGATTTTGAGGTAATGCCCGGATGAAACGAGCAGGACCTCTTTTAATACCATAGACTGGGGGGGGGAACTTGTCCCCTAGTCCCTGCTTCGGCCCCTCCAGTGAACCATTTTGTCCCCCCCCCCCCTGAAGGTTCCTTCTGTCTGCAATATAAGCAAAAAAAGGAAGAATAACTTAAGGTTACAGGACACCTTTTTTGGCGTTTTGCGGAAAGTCGCTACTGCGCGCTCAAAATCAGTCCGATTTTCATCAAATTTTCACCAAATGTTAGCCAGTGCATGCAAAATATGATAAAGTTGTAAAATTGACAAACAATAAAATAATGTAAGAATTATTCAGGAAAATCTTAAGTCGCGGTACCTTTACGCTTTTGAGTTATGTTCCTGCTGGTTTTAAGATATATTTATGAAAATATCATTTTTATACAGTAAAATAGTTGTTCTAAAAAATTGTGTTCGGAAATTTTTTGTTTATATTTCGTCATTCCGCTGATATGGCGATTTCTTTGACGACTGCAATATATTTCTGAATCGTTTGTGTGAATTGCTCTTTATTATTAAAATATCCAAAATTAGA